CTCCTTGGCCAGAAGGGTTTGTAACGCCAGCCACACATTCCTCTGGGTATCCCCAGGCCCAGATTCCCAGGGAGCCCACAGTTTGGGTGGGAGTGCAAAGTGGTACAATTCTTTTAGAAAGTTATTTAGCAACATGGAGCAGAAATCTGCCTGTGTTACTGGTTTAAGGTACGGCCTCTAGCGTTAAAGAGACATATTTGAAGCTCAGCTCTGCCACTATCTAGCTGTGTGACCAAGGGTGGTAACAACCGCTCAGGGTCTCAGCTACTTGTTCTATAAAACAGAGCTCATGATACCTACCTCCCCATCCCAGATTTCTCGTGAGGATTAAATGAAATGGTAGAGTGCTTAGCACGCGGGTCGCGGTTAATGGTAGCTGTTGATCGTTCCATTTCTTAAAAGGATGTAAAATAAGAAAATGTTTGGAGGACAAGAACATTTACTCTGGCATTTTTCATATTAATGAAAACCTGGAATAGTCTACAAATCCAGTATGATGGGCGTGGTGAGGTAGGCTGTGCACGTACCCCCAAGACTGGAGGGGAATCTGCAGAAATGCTAATAAGTATGGAATTTGGAATGAACTGGTCTCTTCCCTAACTTCCAGATTGTCTATAAGGCTATTGGGTTACTTTTACAAACAAAATTATTTGAAAAGAGCAGATTTTGCATAGATCTGACCAGAGGGGTGAGCAGGGCAATAGGTGGGGGCCTCTGGTAGCTGGATCTGGGCCATTCTTACTTAGTACAATGAAACTTCAAAGAACCAGGCTGCAGCCGGTTGAGACGTGTGTGACTGGAGGGTGTTGTGTGTGTTACCCATGGGAGGTGAAATGAAAGTGTCAGACTCTGCATCTGACCCCAAGCCCCTTAGCCAATAAGACGCAGAAGACGGCCCGACCCCTCTGGGTCGTTGTGAAGATTAACTAAGGTGGAGCCTGCATGAAACTACCTCCTTCCATACTCTCAGCAGCTCTATAAGGGCTACTGCCCCTGACCCCCACTGCAGTGAACGAACGACAGCCTGACAGAGAGAGGCACCTGGGGACCAGCAGGTCACTCCCTGCCTTTGGCCTGTGTGTGGTCCTGAGGGGCAGCTGGTACTGAACACAGCGCTGTCTCTTAGAGATGGTTATTGGTTCCTTCTAAGCATCAAGTTCTATGGGAAATCACCCTATACCTGACAAGCCAAAAGAAAAATAAGTCGGGGCCTGGTAGCCATGCACACTGTGACTGAAACAGCCAGGGCCCACCTTGAACAGGTGGGGAGCTATGAGCCTCGCTGTGCCCACAGTGGCCTCCACGGTCCTCGCCACGTAGATTGGCATAGTCCTAATTAGCTTAACAAAAAGCCTGGATGGTGCAGAAGAAAGGGCGAGGCCTCTGTCATCAGACAGCTGGGCCCACACATTCTAACCCCAGAACCTTGGCCAAGTTACTGAAAGTGTCTCTTTGAGCCTCAGTTTCTCTATCTGTTAAATGAAAAAGCCACCAGCTATCCTTCACAATCTGAGGGGACATTCAGTAAATGCTGCTTTTCTTTTCTTCCTCAGGTAGAAACACTCAGGCACCAGTGGACACTGCTTCTTTGGCAGGAAAAGGACTGAACAGCTCTGTTCCCCAACTCCAGGGAGCCAGAGAGGAAGGGTGGCATACGGGACAAATCATCTTAGGACAAGGAGCTGTCTCTCTAGGCAAAGCCAGGCTGGTGATGGACCCCCATGGGCAGCAGGATGGAACTGAGAGAGTAAAATCGAGCAGCACCCGGAGTGCTGGCCCTGCCGCTTTCGAACTGGATAACCCTGGAGTACTGAGTAAATACGTTTTCTGAGCCTGAGTTCCCAGTCTGTGGGAGGAGAAATGAGCACCCACCTAAGAGGGCCTAGAACACGAGAGGTGCTCGACTGTACTTGCTGCTAACTGGCCTCTGACTCCCAGTCTGGCGGCCTGATCCCGGCTGACCCTATCGCTTACCCTAGGGAGAGCTCAGGGCAGTCCACCAGCCCTGTGCTGAATAATAATGCAAGGAGCCAGTAGTTCTCGAGGAGAAATAGTCACTGAATATCAATTAGCTAATGTTAACTGAAAAACAGAGGGAACGCTTTCCCCAGAAATCTTTCTGAAGTGTTCTGCCCATTGCCATCAGATGGTTTTCAGGGGCTAGGACACTTACCATTGATTCAGGAAGCAAATCTAACACAGGAAAAAAATTTCATTTTGGGAAAATGTAAGTCAACAAGAGTCAGCATGGGGGTTTTCTTTAAAGGCCTCCTTTACAAAACCCTATGAAGCTTGCACCTAGTAGGTGTTCAAAGAATGGACAGGAGACCATCACCTAGAGAGGAAGAGACGGACTTCAGTGCATCCACTGGCCAGAGAGCTGGCGGCCGATGCTTCTGGGCTTGATGAATTCCAGACGCCGGGCTGCCTGCTGCAGGAGGCTGTGGAGACCGTCTTATCCCTAATCAGCTCTGTCTTGCTGTCCACCAAGTTCATTACTTAATATGCTATTTGGACATGAGGGAGGCCTGAATTACTCCCTCAGCTTCAAAGGTCCTGCATCTCTTTGGGCCACCCAAATCCTCTGCGTTTCTGATGCAGTCTGATATTCCCAGTGGAAGCAGGGATCCATGATTCAAGAAACTCCAGGCCATGTGAAAGGGCCAGGCACTGATCCGAGTGCCCAACACGGAACCACCCGCAACAAAGGCCCATTAGGATCTGGTTCCTGCCTGCCGGCTTGTCTCCTCGTGTCTCCTAACACAATGCTGACAGATTGGTGGAGCTGGTTTCTTTCCTCCCTAGAACAATATTTTATGAGGAGTCTGTTTTATTAAAATATTTTCCGCTGGATGCTTCCTGTGTTTCAAGAACTTGGTCTTGCCAGCTGGAGCCGATGACAGTTGAGACAAACACATCCAAGTGCTGTTGTGACATGGCACTTGGAGGAGGAGGAGCACGCGGGTAGAGGGGGGCAGCATGGGAAGAGATGCAGGAGAACACCCAGGCTGCACCAGGAATGCCACTGGCATTATGGGAGAACAGCCCCCATTCCCCACCCATTAAAAAAACGTGAGCAGAAACTCTTGGAATGATGTCCCAAAATGTACCTCTTTTATCTCCTTGAGCTGGAGCCTCTGTGATGTATGGTCACAGAGTGCCTGCCATTTTTTTTCTATCACTGCCAGTTTGCCAATTCACTAAACGAGTCCCCATGCTCCCAACTGGTTCATTTCAACCCCACATGTTTCCTGAACAGAAATCTAAAACAAGGCATATTGCGAAAAGAAACGAAAAGTGATACCGGCGCAGTTCTGGCACAACCAGGAGGATGGGATGACCAGACACAGGCTCTTTGGCACACACTAGAGGCATCCCCTAGCACCGGGCTGGAAAAGCAACACCGTCAACAGGCGTGATTAGGCAGCCCGACCTCTAATCGGGAACCCGGCCACAAAACAGGTGATGCTCGTCTGGAGCGCGTGAAGTGCTGTTGGTCTGGGGTGGTTTTGTACAGCACAAGGATATTCTGGGTTCGCGTTTCAGTATCTGCAGGCCCATGACCCTGCATCCCAGTACAGGCCCAGTTTTAAAGACGCGACTTTAAAGAAAAGTGACCGATTTCATCCTCTCAAAGAGAAATCTTTAGGGTCTGAGGAACACGGAAGCTGTGCACCATTTTCCCCACAAGGGGGCAATCATGATCCATGTCAGCCAGGGCCAGGGACTGGTCCTCATATGCCCGCTGTCCTATTGTCAGGCAAAAGCTGAAGCTATACCCAACTTCAGGAGTCCTCTCTTGCAAATTGTGCATAACTAAACATCTCCCAAGGCAGACACACACATACATGCTCTGTCTCCCATTGCTTTCTGGGCAAGGCTTGAGTTGAGGGCTGCCTGGGTAGGCTGGTTCTACAACGACAAAACAGCCTCAAGCAACAAGAACGGTAAACCAGAGAATCCTGGCCGCGCTGAAGTGCACCGCGATCTGGCTCAGGCCACAGCGTGACACTGCGGAATCCCTTTCTGCCCTTCGGCTCCTTTTCTGGCTGGGGCCTGCCATCTCTCTCGACTTCTTTCCCTGAGAACTCTTCTGAAAGTGGTGCAGACATGAGGACTGCTCCCCTCTTCACCTGAAGAACTTCAGGGTCCCTGGGGCAATGTTTCTGGCTCCCCAAACAGCCCCAGACCGAGATGGATGCGTGCACTTTTTCAAGGCTTCGCGGGAAGCCAGTGTGTAGCTGCTGGGCTGTCTGGGCAGAGCCCGAGGGCTGTGCGCCTTGGGACAAAGGGGGGCCCTGCATCCCTCTGATGGATGCAGTGGTCCCTTCCGCAGACAGGTGGCGTGTAGCCGAAGCCTTGCCCCAGCCAGGCAGTTCAGCCTCTGGCCACTGCTTGTATACCTGCCTCACCAGTTACCTCATCTATCCAACACCTATTCAGCATCTACCCAGCAAGGGTCTTTGTTGAGGCCTGTGCTAGGTGCCTGCCCCGAGGACCTCTGGATCCATGGCAGGTAAAAAAGCAGAGCCACAATAACATCAAGGCTTTGGCACAGGGGAGCCAAGTGGAAGTGGGACAGTGGGTTGGACCGTCCTGAGCTCCAGAGCCCTCAGGCGCCCCAGGCCTAGGAGGCGGAGGCCCTTGTTCAGTGGTCACCTCCTTGACCGGGTTCCTAACTGTCTCCTGCTGACCCTGCATCTTCAGCCTGAGGAAAGGCCTGGAACCTTCTTCTGAGCCTGTGTGAATACCCTCGGGGCATCACCACTCAAAACCCAGCCCAGGTGCCCGGCTCCTTGGCCTCTGGGCCTCCCACTGGTGTGACTACTGCTAGCACAAGCCAACGCTGAACATCAAGCCTGCTCCTGACTGACCTCTCTGACACACGCTCTGGGCTCCAGGGACGCCTTTCAAAGGCAGGGGCTGCAGCGTGGGCTCCACAGAGCGCCGGCCCCACGGGGTTGTTGCAGACAGGGGGAGGGGAGTGATGGGGTACTCACTGCTCAGGGCTCGAGATGGATGTCCTCCGGCCTTCCACGGTGACATTGCTCTTTGGTCTCCTGACGACATGTGGACGGGGAGGGCGCACCTAAAAGGGGCGCAGGGAAAAACCCCCAAGAGGTTGTGAGTTGGAAAAGCCATACAGGAACATTTTGAAAATTTGGGTAAGTGGCCCCAAAATAAATGTGGAGGGGTTTTCACGGTACAGGCTACAAAGGCTGTGTATGAGAAGATCGTCACTGCACGTGCAGCCGATGCATGAACTGGAATCCTGGGGCCTACTCAAACGGGAGAGAGTCTTCTAAGAGCATGGTTTCCTCACCTGCAGGGAGGGGCCATTCCCCCTGCCTCCTCGAAGGGAGGTGGGACTGGGGGTGAGGAGTGGGGGGGCAGGAGGGGCTCGATGAAATACTGTCCACACAGGGCCTGGAACGAAGAGGCCCTCAGTGATGCTAAGTGCCCACTCACCTTCTTCTAGAACCCAGAAGCTGGTTGGTAGAACAAAAAGGTTTTACTCAGACTTTGTTTTTAGGGTACATGTGCTCATTTTGTTCTGTTTACAACTGAATTACAAACTGCGTATTTCCTTCTCTTAACGCAAGGGGGAGGGGAGTAAATAATGGCATTAGAGAGCACCACGAAGGTCACGTCTGCTCCCCAGGGCATCCCCGTGCAGCCCTCCTGAGCAGGGCTCGGCCTGGACGCCCTGCACGCCCCAGGTGGCTCCAATGCTGTGTGTGTACCGAGCTGGAGGGTCACGGCTGGGCGTACTTGACAGTGAAGCACACCGAACTTTGTGATCCACAGTCGGGATGCAGTGACAAGACGGGTCTTTTGGTTTTCCTCCTGATCAGCTACCAATTAAAGCCAAGATGAGGGCCCACGGAAAAAGACACTCCCCTTCCCCGCAGAGCCCGTGATGGGAGTTAGGCTGAGAATTTCGAGGTGTCCCTAGAAGGATACTCATTTGGTCCAATCAACATTACATGGCTTTAAATTTGGCACTGTCATCTCCGACCACTTCCAATGCCAGTGAGTGTATCTGCGAGTTTCACGGCAGATAAAAATGGCTGCAACACCCTGTGCAGGGGGCCTGCTCTCTCTCTGCAGGTGAGGCATGAAGTAGGAAATGCCGAGATGGCTCAGGTTCTCGACAGGACAGGGAAGGAGAGCACACACTCCATTTCCTGCCCACCCTCTTCCCTGAACCACTCCCCCAGCAATTTGTGGGCGACACAGCACAATGGCTTAGGAACAGAGATTACAGAAGTTGGCTGCATAAAAGACAAGTCTTTATAGAGTCTGATCAAGCCCTCAGGTCTCTGCACGTCTGATCTAACTGAAGTTTTTCCTGTGGAGTGGCCAGTCTCATCTCAGCCTCGTCTGGCAACTCAGAGATGTGGTTAAAAAAAAAAAGTGCCAAATGCACCCCACCCCTTTTGCTGTCCTCTTCTCTGGGGCTACTGTGAAGGTCCTCTGAGATGACACAGGAAAAGTGGCAGCACGGGGTCTGGCACACAGTGGGGCTCCACAAATGCTCACCTTGCTTCCTGTGAGCTTGTCAACAACAGGAAGCCAGGGGAGGGGTGTCTGTGAATTAGAATATGCCACACATGATGGTCTTACTCTTGCCTAGCGTCCTGCTCAGTGCCTGGAATTCGAGCGGTCACTCAGCAAGGTATTTTAGAAACCAGTGAACGTTGCTGCTTGGAATCTAAGAAGTGCACAATAATGTTGCTATTATTATCATTGTTGTTAGAACAGTGGCTGCCACAAAGCAGACACATCCAGTCACCATTTGCTGGATACACGAATGGATACACCCCCGCCCATTCTAGCTGTGAATTGGTTTCCTGGACCAGAGGCAGAGGCAGCTGGGAAGCAGGATCACCTGGTTGGGATGCCCCCCCAGACCTGTCACCACAAAGGCGGGTGTGCAGTTGGGGGTGACGGAGCAGCTCTGTCCTGCCCCGGGGTCTGGGGATGGGGGTTTCAGGAAAGGGCAGACATTAAGGCCCGCCTGTCCTTGCACATGGCTGCTCCTTGCTACAATAAAGGCGGGTTAGGAATGTGAACTTGTGGCTGAAATGGGGGGATTAAGTTTGTGGCAACTTCAACTGAACTTGCAACGTGGTGAAACATGGGGAAAAAGAACAACAGAGCTAATTAGACGAGCTGAGCTGTCAGAGTGCCGCTGAATGGCTCAGCGCCAACAAACAAAAGGAATGGGTTGGCAATCAGCAGGATCGATGGAGAAGACTGCTTCATTAGGGATGATAAAACAGACAGAGCAGGCGAGGGGCGGGGCGGGGGAGGGGAGCAGGGAGGCAGGGGAGGCGGGGGAGGGGGAGAGAGGCACAACAGACCTGGGGACAGTCAGTCACCCCCACCATTACAGACACACCCAGAGTCACACACACCTGATTGGTGTGGACAAAGCCAGCCAGAAAATTATACTCACAGACACAACCATCCAGAGACATGCACAGAGGCCTCGAGACGCCAACATACACAGAACCTCACAAATACACACTCACAGAGGCGCACACAAGAGGCAAAGAGACAAGCACAAATCCCTCTCTCTCTCTCTCTCTCTCTCCCACACACACACACACACACACACACACACACACACACACACACACACGGCCGCAGACCTACAGTTGGAGCCACCTACAGTTAGAGCCACCTACAGTTAGAGCCACAACCAGGCACAAACACAGAGAGACAAAATGGTTTAATTAAATCCGAATCACAAGACGGTGCAGACAACTGGCCCGTCCTATTGCAGCGACCACATCCGTCTTTCTGGGGTGCTTAGGAAGGGTGGGGGCTGGGGAGGAGGGAAGAAACCACATGCACGCACCACAGCGACGGCCCCACCAGTGTTAGGATCCCAGCAGCGCCAGGGGAGAAAATGCTAAACAGGGATTTTGAGCTCTGTTCAAGGGGGACTTGAGGGTAAAGTTGGGAAACCAGCCAATTCCCCACCGGATTTAAAACCTGAGAAATCTAAGTCGGCAGGGTTAAATGTGTATTGAATACAAAAGCACCGAGTACATTTGATTTTAATGGTGAGCAAGAAATAATAAATACAGAGCTTATGAAGCGCTTCCTGTGCAGCCAACCACAGCCTCCTCTCCCCTGCACGCCCCGGCCCACTCCCCTTAGTCCACCAGACACTGGCAAGGCTTTCTTCTGCTCTTTCCTTTCTCTTCTCTTCAAAAAGAAAATCTAAACCCTCTGGTAACATCTGAACTCCAGCCACAGGTGCCAGGCTACAAAGCTCCTTCCAAAAGGCTGAGTGGAGAGCTCCCCCTGGCTACTGCCACCCTGGGCCAACTTCTGCCCAGAATGTGTGCAGCTAGGTGACTGGGCAAAGCCCGGCAGGGGGGCCAGTGGCTCCTGACATGGGAGCTCGTCAGACAGTCCTCTTCGAGGCCCTGGAGGGGTTCCATACCCCATGCCTCCCAGGTTCACCCCTAGTATGCAGTGGTGCCCACTGGACATGTCTGCCAAGTGCACTTGGAGTGAACACACCCTGGGCGCAGGGCCCAGAAAGCACAAAACCTAGGGTTCCCGTACTGACCCTGCTTGGCAGAAGGTGTTTGGGTTGGTAGAAGTGGGGTATATGTGCACATTGCATGCCAGGGATGGTGCTAGGCATTATACATATATGACCTCATTATCCTCACCAGGTAGGTGTTGCTAAACCCATTTTACAGATGATGAAACTGAGGCTCAGAGAAGGTAAGTATTTTGCCCAAGTCACATAGCCACAAAGTGGCCAAGCTGGGATTCATACCAGGGCAGGCCTCTCTGACTTCCAAGCCTACGATAACCGGTTCTGCTATCACCCTGCCCCTTTAGTGCCAAACAGCCCAAAGGGGGTACAGCCCCAAGTGCTGGGCTAGTCGCCTCCTGCACCAGAACAGCAGCAGGCTTTTCTCAGGGTGACAGTTGCATTGCCAAGTCCTCGGTTGCTGGTGGATGTGGCTACCTCCCCACCCACAGTCTGCAGGAGTCCCCACGCGGGTGAGACAACACCAAGTCCACGGTAGCTGTCTCCAGTGCCTGAGTTTTCCCAAGGTGAGTGGCCCTGACCCATATCATGCTTTCTTAGAGAGTCCCTGTCTGCCTCAGGTCCCAGGTCTCTACAGGGAACTCTCGAGCGCTGCCCACTGGGCGACGTTGGTTTCAGGGGAGCCTGCCTGGTGAGGAGCGGGCACGGCAGAGGCAGGCCTGGGCTCAAAGGCCAGCCTGGTCTCATCGTCTCTTTGGTCTCGGCTGCAAACTGGGGAAACAGCATCTGCTACCTCTAGGCTCTTCTAAGGGCAAGTGATTCAAGTGCCTAGCACAGCCCCAGGCACATAAAAAGTGCTCAATAAATGCTAATTGTCTTCACCTGTGTCCCTGCCAGGACCCACTACTGCCCTAGACATTCTACAGGAAGCGCAGCCGGCGGCTGCTTATTTTTTTCTCACCTGAAGGCTCTGCCCCAGTACTTTCTACTGAGATGGACTCCGTGGAAACGGAGATGGAGGGCTCAGGGAGCTTGGGATACTGGAGGGACCACAGGTTCTAGAGCAGCAGTTCTCAACCTTCCTAATGCCGCGACCCCTTAATACAGTTCCTCATGTTGTGGTGACCCCCAACCATAAAATTATTTTCGTTGCTACTCTATAACTGTAATTTTGCTACTGTTATGAATCGTAATGTAAATATCTTTTTGTTTTCCGATGGTCTTAGGCGACCCCTGTGAAAAAGGGTGGTTCGACCCCTAAAGGGGTCGCGACCCACAGGTTGAGAACCGCTGTTCTAGTCTGACGACCCCTATCTGCAGCTGAGGAGTTTGGGTTACGTTACCGAGCATCAGTTTTCTCATCTCTAAAATGGATGGAGACAGTGCCCTCCTCATGGAGACTGTGAGGCTTTACTGGATGAGTTGCCTAAGGATGAAGTGCTAACAGGAAAATTCTAGGCAAATGGCGGTTACCCAGAAACCGCGGTGTTCCTCAGCAGTCGTAAGATTTAAAAACCCGTGAGGCAGCAGCACCACTCCTGTGTTCCAGGCACTGTGCTAGGTGC